CACTCTCAGCCTCCCCAACACTGAGGGTCTCCACTGGGGTTTGGAAGCAGACTTGGACAGGAAAGCCCGGGACCGTCTCTCCTGGGCTCCCAGAGAGTGAGTGACAGCCTCCGCTCTTGATGTAGGACCACGTGGCACTGTCCATCTCAGGGACAGGGGACCTGGTAAGCGAGTCAGCCTAACTGGGGCTGTGGCCGGAAGCGGCTTGTTCATAGTCCCAGCTGTTACCTCCACATGGAGTTGCTATTACCTCGTCTGCCTTAGTTCATGAAGTTATCTGTCAGCTAAGATGCAGGGTGAAAATGGGCGCCGCCTGTCGTCTCTCACATACACCAGGAGCAAGCCAGTGAACTCCAGGAATCTGCCAGGGAGGGACAGGCCAGGGCCTGGGGAGGGGACCCAGAGAGCACCGCCATGGGGCCATGTGTGGGTGCTGGGGAGCAGACGTGGGGCCCTGTGTACATCACCCTGGGTTGCAATAGCGAGTTTTATAGCGATGACATTCTCATGAAAAGTTAAATGATACATGATCTCCTCTGTCTCAGAGCGTTACAGTGTGGGAGATGGCCAGCACACTGCTGCCCTGGTTCTAAAGTGGGCTTCTCAGAGGCAGAGCACTGGGAGGAGGGCAGGAGGCGGGCAGTGGCTCCCCCCACAATTTCCCCGCATTGTGGCTTCCTCAACAGTAAGAGGTCATGTTTGGCCGTTTAACAGGAAACCTCCTGAAGGTAATTTATATTTGTCAACAATAAAGTGTTAAAGAAATAAAATACACTGTCTGTCTGTTGCTGTTCTTATTGCTATTATTATGATGTCTTTCTGCCTTCTTGAGCTAAATCATTTTGAATTAGACCTAGTGAATGTCCATGTGTTTCGATTCTTGAATCACCGAGACCACTAAACACGGCCCTTGAACAGTGGCTGCTGGCCAGGTGGCCCCGTGTGCAGAGTCCAGGACAGGCAGCTGCCCAGACGCCAAGGCCCGGCCACAACAGTGGAGCCACTCCCTCCTCTTCATCAACTGCTCATCAAACTTCACCTGGGCCACCCCCCAGGGTTTTCACTTAGAAAGAAACCTACTAGGAATTGAGGAGGAGAAGGACAACTGTTTGAAATGTAACGTGTTATTCACCTTGAACCTGTTTTGCTGTGACCCAGGAAATGGGTTACCCTCCAAGAGAAGACAGCTGATTCCACTTGTTTTCCCTTTGTTACTTATTAGAATAGATCCTCTTTATGTTGATTCTCTCTTGAAAATTTGCCAATAGAGTATAGAAATGCCTGTGCCATCGATTCCAACATGCCTGCCAACTTCAGCCATGGGGGTTAACATTTTTAAATTGATCATCTTTTCTGACATGATTACAAAATTTCAAGGGATTGATAAACAATAAAAGTCTAAAGTTATCCAAATTTTTGAGACTTTCTGTGACTTAAAAGTGGATCTGTACACTTGCAAAACCTTAAGCTTCCCCTGAATCTCTGTGAGTTAGGAATACTGCAAATACATGCTGAGATCCACAGCCAAGTAGGAATGACGCATGGTATTTTTGGTTGAAAGGTGACCCTGCTCAGGGATTAGGGTGGCTCCAGGTTTAGGGTGGATCCTGCTGCCTCAGGCGCCCGCTCCTTGAGTTCCTTTGAGTTCTCTCGGGGTTCTGAGAGTATTGGTATGCAGAGCCCAGTGGAAGGAGTGTATTTTTCCCAGAACGTGCGTGTAGAGTGTCGGTGCGAGTTCGGGAATAAAGAGTTGCTGTTTGAATCTACAAGGCTTTGTGGTGGCTTGGTTATTTTGTGCCCAGACAGACTGCGGCATTTGGTGGCCCGTACGGGGAACGAACCTGCGACCTTGGCGTTATCAGCACCAAGCTCTAACCAACTGAGAAAGGCCATGCACCACCACCCACGGAATCGAGAAAGAGCTATCAATCTGTCAATCCTGTCCGTGTCCGGGCCAGGTGAGGTTTCCCGTGTTGCGACAGTGATTAATCAGGATGCTTTTTTCAATATCTATTTTTTGCCTTTTCCCACATCATAAAGTTCTATTTTATTTTTTGAGCTCATACAGACCTAGGTTAATGTTTTTCTGATCAGTTTTATTTTTTGACTGTGGAGTTTTTAAACATTGCAATGGAGATTTCACCTGTGTAAAGCTACAAGGCCTTTACTATTGTCTTATGTGTGGTATGTTATGTGTGCACACTTCTGTTTTGTGTTGTATGTCTGTATGTGCGTATGTCCATAGATCATATATGAGGAGCGCTCATGTATAAATGGATCCGATTTTTTTTATTCACGTGATTTTAATGGTTTAATTTAGATTGGGTAAACAGCTGTTGAAAATTGTTTTAATATGTGTACAAATAAGGAGGTTAACAGATCTGTTTGTTTACTTTCATCTTTCATTTTCATTATACTTAATAATTCTGTTCAGGATAATGTAAATTGTTCAGAAAATTGTTTTCTTAGTACCTGTTGGAATGTTACATAATTTCTTTTTAGCATCATTGCCAGAATTCCTATCTTCATCCCAGTGCCAGTGAAGACAAAGATAAACCAAACTACAGCTTCTATGATAGCTATCACAGTAAACTGTATAAACTGATGCATCAATGAATAATAACTCAACAAGTAATGCTCAATCAAGGAGTCGATTTACTTTGGGAGGAAATGGACATATTGATAGATTCCTCCGCTTTGAACTGCTTGCAGAACTTGCCTGGACTATGTATCACTTGTATGCATTGTGAACTATCTGTTGGTGCAGCGAATTGTGGTAGTGCTGGCGTATCTTTGCTGATGGTGTCACCGGTGGTACAATTTTTCAAAGGAGCCGTCAATTGGCTTGGTGTCGTAGCATTTCTGTATCCTCCTCCCTTCTACTAGTGATGGTCTAAAATTTGGGGGCCAACAGAGGTGAGGCAAAGAACCTCACCCCCCCACTGGCACCAAGGCCAAATTTGGGGGCCAACAGAGGTGAGGCAAAGAACCTCACCCCCCCCACACACTGGTGCACAGGCCTATCCACAAGTATGGCTGTATGCTGGACCGGTAGTCAGTGACGGGTATGATCCAATTGCAGTGGTACCAACCTAAGACAGGAGGCTGACACCTAGAGGTCAGATCATCCGATGACGGGTAAGGACCATATGTTGAATTGGACAACCTAACAGGCACGGTCGGTCCCTAAGCCACATTGCTTGTTGCTTAATTAAACAGAAGCGGGGAGATGTTGAGAGCCATAGCCAAGTAGGAATGACGCATGGCATTTTTGGTTGAAAGGTGACCCTGCTCAGGGATTAGGGTGGCTCCAGGTTTAGGGTGGATCCTGCTGGGAATAGGGTGGATCCTGCTGGGAATAGGGTGGATCCTGCTGGGAATAGGGCATATCCTGCTGCCTCAGGCGCCTGCTCCTTGAGTTCCTGTTGAGTTCTCTCAGGGTTCTGAGAGTATTGCTATGCAGAGCCCGGTGGAGGGGAGTGTATTTTTCCCAGAACGTGCGTGTAGAGTGTCGGTGTGAGTTCGGGAATAAAGAGTTGCTGTTTGAATCTACAAGGCTTTGTGGTGGCTTGGTTATTTTGTGCCCAGCCAGACTGCGGCAAATACAACCTTTCCTTGCATTATTTGTGGATACAGATCCAAGTTTGGGCGACCCACAGAAGAGGGAGAATGGGGAAAATAGGAGTCATGACTCCAACTAGGATTCCCTCTAAGAAGTTACACACAGCAGATGTTAATTTACTTATATTTCCCCATTAATTCCTGCACTCATTCCTTTTGGTTTAGCAAATTTCCCACTGAAGGGAAATCATGTTTTTCTTCATTTATGTTTACATTTCGGAGGGTTTGCATGCATGCACGTACTTCTTCAAATGTCTAGACCATGTATAAATATTTCTAATTACATAAATACAAGGCTCTGTAAAATTTAAATGTCAAATGGAAATTTTATGAAAGTTTCTATGTACAGCTGCATTTATATAATAATTTCATATTAATTTCCCAATGACAACTTCAGCAAGGCTGCTAATAATTTTATGCAAGTTTCATTTGGCAAATTTAGCACATAAGTAACATTCTATGAATAATCATCATAAAGGAAAATCACAAATAACTGAAATAACAGCAAACTTTGGAGTCCTCATCACACAGAACACTAGGGTATTTCTGCTGAAATATAGATTATTCCACAGCTACCCTAAACCACAGGCCATGTATTGAATACACTGATCAATGTGCAGTGGGATTTTAAATGTGCACATTTTAATAAGAATGTAGTATCCCCTTGAACTTGAAACCTTTTTGGAGATATCCACATTTACTTGAGAACTTTCCCATTAATATGTTGTTGTTTTAATGTTTTCCAGTAAACTTGTGAAGCCAGCAGTTGTCAGGAATTTGGTAAAGAAGCCTAGTGGACAAAAAGAAAATTCTCAGAGGGTTTCATTCAAAGACAAGCACACTGTGAAGACTGCTTGATGTAATTCTCCTTTTAATTGTTTGCTCAAGGTCATTATCAGTGGCAAGAACAGTAACAAAGTTTTCTATTGACAAGATGCCATGGAAATCTATAATTTTTTAGATGATCAAATGGCCTTGAAAAGCCTCTTTAAGCCTCTGCTTAAAGATGATTAGGGGCATGAGCCAAGATGGTTACCTCAGAGACCCTTGTCAAATAATCCAAGTAGAGAAAGTAGCTGCAGGTGCCCTGAGACGGTCTCCTAGGTTCATAGAACCTTGACATTTCTTGGAGCGAAAGGCCTGTGTACCTTCACTTCAGAGAGTGTGTGGGCACATCTGTGCCTACCAGGTGACTCAGCCCTTCAACAGGTGTGTGGGTGGGAAGGGGGGGTCCGCACCTCTAAAGAACAATCCCTAAGACCTTCAAGTAAAGGGACTTGTTAGAAGGAACTGGCACACTGTACCAGGGAGCATCTGTCACAGCAGAGCCTGGCAGTCTCCTGCAGCAGGAGCAGAGCGGGTGGCCGCCTGGTACCTACCTTCTGTGCTCCTGCTCCTCGGGACTGTGCAGGCAACAGTTCACGGTGTTCACCAGGAAGCCAAACAGGCGGCCGTACAGGGACTTGGCCAGGAGGTCACGGTAAAATTCAGCAATCTGTATAGTGTGTCGTCGTATTATCAAGTCTCCTAAAACACAGAGAATAGGAGGTGTGACGGCAGGGCTCTGCTGGGCCAGGATCCTTGGCCTCAGAGGCTTCTGCTTCATGGGAAACCAAGAAATGGCCAGGAAAGCAGGCCTTGACTGAGGCCTCGACTAACCAGCTCCCAGGCAGGAGGGTGGGCTCCTGGCCTATGAGCGGGGGCCCAGGCAGCAGAGAGCACTCAACAGCTATCTGGGAGCCAAGGAGGCTGAGGTCCTCACCCCAGCTTTTATTCACTAGCCATTTGGTATTCAAAGCTATTTAACTTCTTTGAATCTTATTCCCATCATCTGTAGTTAAAATGGAAACAGTTATGCCCATCTGTGATGATCTCGGAGAAGCACTTGGCACCATGCTATGGCCATCAATGCCCAGTAAGGGGCAGCCATGTATGGCCCAGGAGGAAAAGGAAAGGTAGCCGCCCCCACTTAGGAGGGCAGTGTGACCTCACACATGCAGGGGTCCACATTTGATGGGGATCAATCCTTTTGGGTTGACAGCATTGTCTTTCTAAGCTGATGGATTGACCAGAAGGGGTGACCCTGTGCTCTCTCCCGGGAGCACAGGGTTTACAATGCAGTCACAACCAGAGGCCAAACAGGCACTCAATCCCAGGATCAGCTTCACCCAGGGGGCACAGGCCAAGCTGTATTTGGGCTCTATGTTTGAGTTGCACCAGGATGAAAGTCCGAGTACAGAAAACTTTACCTTTAAGATACTGGATGTCCGTGGTCAAGGCAGAGGCCAACTCGTCTGTGGACACTTGTAACATTCCAGCCACTGAAATTGAAGCCGTATTATAAAACTCAAGTTAGTGTATGTTTGATACTCAGAACATTTATATGTAGAGAACATCTTTACATAGACACATGAGAACACATGTATTAAAGAAAAGTAACTACTACTGTAATTGCCAAATTCAACCAGAGAAACATCTTAAAGAAATCAACTCGTCACTAAGTTCTTGTGGCTCTGCGCATGAAATCATAACAGGTCTGGTGGCATTGCTGTTCTCACAGATAGTGATGAATTGTTTTCTCCATATTCTTCACTAGATCACTTTGATATAGTGAAGATAGGCTCCTTTAGTTTTATGGTAATTTTTTTTTAAGTGGGGGTGACTAGAAAGGTCATTTCAAAGATGAGAGAAATTTTTGGCAAGGTCTCCTACTAAGACAAAGTTGCCAAAAAACATATATTGTAGAAAAGATAGCATTTGAAGGGAAGCCGTTACATCTTGTTTAAAATGTTTAGCTACCAACATCTCCCCCATATAAACTGGGTGCCATGGCTAGAGGCAGAGAACACTTATGAACAATAAAAAGGAAACTCAAGTAAGTGCGGAAGAAGCAGAGCTGCTGGAAGAGAGCCCTGCAGCACACACTGGCCATCAGAGCCAGGCCACTCATAAAGCAAAGTAGACGCTCCCCACATTGAGCCCTACTCCTGAGAAGGGCCTGTGCCACGGGCTTTTCTGTACTGTGTCTCCATCTACTGGCAGCTTGGCAAAACTGCACAGAAGTGAGGTTCCTGCCCACCACCCCACTGACCTTGTTCTAGAAGCTGGAGGTCAGAAACAAAGGCAGAGTGAGCGTCCGTCAGCGCGGTGAACTGGATGTCTCCAAGGTGCAATATTGCTGCTAGAATAGCAAATAGGTTCTCCACCTCCTGCACAGTTTACAGATAGAGAGCACCGACAGTCTTGCTTAGAGGAAAGACTGAAACACAGATCCTTTAAAAGTCTCAGAGGGTACAAAAGGGGTGTGGCCTCTGTTCATGGGATTGTGGCATCAGATTCTAAATGTTTGGTGGAAGAACCACCAATGTCTGCCTCAAAATCACCATCTCATGGCTCAATGCACATTTCCTCTAAATCAATGTTTCTGTTCCGGAGACATAAGACAGTGAGAAAGTGCTATTCTGATATAAATCGAGGGCTTCTGATAACTGTCACACCCAAACATGAATGTTCTGTGCTGAGGTCTCACTGGCTGGGCGTCACTTGTGAGGTCAGACTTCACTAGGGTCCTCTAAGGCAGACTCCGGCCTGCCAAGGCCAGCAGCCTGCCAAGGCCAGTGGGCCCAGCTGGGCGGCACTGTGGCTGCCCTCCTCAGGAGCCCACTCTGCGGCAGCCGTTCCTCCTTCCCTCCCCGTGACACAAACTGAGGTGGTGGTTACAGAGCTAGAGAAACAAGTGGCTTCAAGGCATCTTAAGGAAAACCAGGGAACAGACAGACGTGGGCCCCAACTGCCTGAGCAGGAGGCTCAGGAAGAAAGAGTGTGCTGAGGGGAGCTCTGAGAACCCCCCTTCTGCAGAAGGAAGACGGACACCTGGGGTTTGAGTGAGGAAAGGCGTTTTGTGGCAAGAATGGAAAATCAAGAAAGAGCTGCAGTAAGGGATGCTTCCCTAGAGCACCCAGTCTTTAGCACGATGCTGTCCACAGTGGAAGAGGCTGAGCCCCAGGGCAGAGGCCAGGGCCCCTTAGTTCTCAGTTTCCTAATTCAGGAGTAAGCTCCTGTCATGCCCACACGGAAGGCGTCCTACCAACAATCTCTTTGACCTACAAACACAGATCAAAGCATCAGCATCCCTGGGGTTCCGTGATTTTCTTTCAAAACGCTCGGTTTTCACGGAAAGCCATGATTTCAGATCATCTGGAGCACGAGAGCATGGGGTGACCTTGATACTCTCCAGGCTCACCACTCTGTGATCATGGTCGTCACCCAAAAACATGTTTACTGACCCTAAACCCCAACTCAGGGCTTCCGATTTAATTCATCTTGCTTCCTGGAATAGCATTTTCCAGCCTATGAAACTCTCCTACAGCGGTTTCCCTTTTCATTAATTCTGATGACTCTTCATTAGTGTCCTGGAGCCTGCAGAGTGGACGCCTCTGGATCGACAGACAAGAAGAATGTGCACTGTCCTCAAGGGTCTTTCCCTTCAGGGTGGAGACAGAGCTGTGGGTGCCACCTGTGGTGCCCACTGTGAGGTGGTGAGTTCCGAGACAGAGGGAGAAATCAGGCCCTCTGGGGGAGGGAGGCTGCTAGGCTGTGTCTGTGTTCAGTAATGGTCCCCTGCTGCCCTGCGGCCACTGGGGACACAGGGCGGAGGTGGAGGCACCTCTATGCACAAAACTCTGGGGACCATGGTGCCTGACACGTTTTGACCCCAGGTGCTCAGCCCAGAAACACTGTCCTTTGACTGGTAAGGGAAATTATATATCCCTCCTAAGTGAAATAACTGTCCCCATTCAAGTCACTTTAAAGGATCACGACGAAGAGGTGCATTTCATGTCTTTTGTTAAAATATACATGTCTTTTACCAAAAAGGCTGCCCGATTCTCTGTTAGCTACCTGGGCCAGCGGGTGTATTTTGCCTGCCCTGCCTTTGAGGATCAATCACGGATTTTCAAAGTCCTGTTTCCAAGCAACTGGTCTTTAGGCAGAACGGCTCCCTGCCCCTGTCTGTGCCCCCTTTTCCTATAGGGGAGGTGGGCATCTCAGGCATGAAGGGAGGGAAACAAAACAGCAGCAGCAGCCAGAGGACAGGACCGTGCGAGCGGCTGGAGCCAGGGAAGGCAGAGGAGACTGCAGAGGAGGGCAGAGGGCCCGCGCGGCCTGACTGTGGCGCTGCCGGCCAGCCCTACCCAGACAGAGGCTCGGCTCAGCCCGTCTCTGTGGTGAGCAGGTGGGGCCGGGCCAGGAGCCCGCAAGGATTCCACAGTCCATTCCTGGCCCTTCCCGGGTGCTCTCCCACCCCCTCCCACACCACCGATCAGCCACACCTGTGGTCAGGGGAAAGACAGGCCCGCATGAGTCCACACACTGGCTTCAGACAGACAGATGGCATTTACGTGGGTGACGAAATCGGGGGACTCCGGGCATACCCCAGCAACCTCACACTCCTCGTTTCTGAGGACTTGGCCAAAGTCCAAAACATAAGGGCATGCAGAAAACACACCCGGGAACCAGAGGTCAGGTCGGGGCCTCTGAGGGTGTCCCCCAAGGCTCAGCTCACGTCATGTCTCTGACTCCCTAGACCAGGGCCGCTCGGTTCAGGGACCACTAACTACATACGGTTCTTTCACTTAAATTAATTAAAAGAAGGAATCACTTAAAGTCCTTTCTTCACCTCCTTGACCTCACTTCAAGCACCCCACAGCCACACAGGCTCCCAGCCACCACACTGTGCCCACCAACCAATGGGGACACCAGCACTGATGTGGGACACGTGTGTCGCAGCGGCAGGCTGCGGCTTTTCCGTGAAAATGGGCAGCTCTTAGACTTGGTATTTAAGAATAAAGTTTTCTGTTGTCTGAGGAGACATTTATTTTAAAGTGCCCACATTGTTCCTCAGTGATTCTGAGCGGTGGGCAGCTGCTCAATCCACAGTTCTTGGGTAGGTTGGCGGGCAGGGATGCTGGATCTGTTCTGGACATGGACAGGGCTCCTTGGCCACCATCTTGACAGTGTGCCCTCTCCTGTCCCACTCTGTCCACGGTTCCTAGTGCCTGCCACCATCCACGTCTCCTTTGTCTCCTGACCCTCTAGTGAGCGCTGGGGGCAAGAGAATCTGCACTCTGCTAGGCCACTGGTGTCTACAGCAATATCTGGAACCTAATGGGGTCGAGAAATGCCTCTGAGTGGACACCTGGGCTGGTGGAGGGAGGTTCACTCCATGAAACACACAGTAGCACTCACCACAGCGCTGAAGCCAACAACATTCAGAGCTTGTTTCAAAACCGCGAACTTCTCCCTGTTCAGAGAGCGCTCTGCTGTGGACACATCTTCCCGTGTGGTGTGGTTCAAGTACCTGTTGGGACAAAGACACGGCATTAGGGCTTGGCCTGGAGTGAAACTCGAGTGGTTGGAAGACACTTCAGCCATATTTGGTCTCCATAATAATGGAAATCGCCTGGACATTGTGTACTGGCGTGTTTACAAAGCTTTCAGTACGTTACAGCACATGCTGTTTCAGGAAAGGAAGAAAGCCGGTTCTGGCTGTACCAGAACATAACTGAACTGCGTGACGTGACTCTCACCTTAGCTGCACCCTGCCTTGTGAAAGGAGAAAGTTCCAAGTACTCAGTGCTCTTCATACAGAATCCAGCAGGCACTATCATATGCATTGTAATTAATATGTGCATTAAAGAGACTTAACTTACTCTCACGTTTCTTCTTGTCGGTACCTTTTAATTATAAGGTATTGATTAATTCATTAATTTATTCCTTTCATTCAACAAACATATATGAATCACCTACCAAATATAGGAAACAGCAGGCAGCTGAGGACTACGTGAAGGTGAAGGAATCCTTCCTGGGACCTCAACTGTGAAACACGACATACCCAGGGGCAGCAAAGATGGCGGTGGGCAGGTGGGGAAAAGGAGGACGGCACAGTGCCTGAGCGTAGGGAGGCAGCAGGACCCAGATGTGGACAATGAGGAAACGCTTGGGAGGGGTGGGCTCCGGTTCCAAAGAGCAGCGCATGAGCAGGACTGGCCAAGCACAGAGGCCGTAAGGCTGACCCGGGATACAACAGTATGAAGACACACAGCGTTGTGGGCGTGGTGCATGGGGAGCACAGAGTCTGCACTTGCACTCTAACGTGTGACGGCCAGGGGCTGCTAGGTTGGAGAAGCGCCAGAGCTGTGTACACCCTGCACAAGAGTCTCAGGCAGGTTCCGGAGGGATGGGAGCTCTGAAGCCTGGGGACAGAAAAGAGGCACACCAGCTTGGAGTGTCAGGAGCATTCTTGCACACTGGTGGGCGGTCACCTGGAAAGAGATGAGACAACTAAGGGTAGCAGGTGATCCAGGTGTGACCGACCCTGGTGAGCAGAGAGCAGGGAGCCAGGCAGGAACAGTCAGGAGGAGCCGTGGTCTGCGGACAGGGCCGCAGAACAGGAACAAATGGTGCATTCATACACACACTCCCATTCAAATTATCACACACAAATACACTCATGCACATACCCCAGTGCATGCACATATTCATTCACAAATACTGATTCCTACTCACATGCTCAAACACATTCCTATACGCTCATATACTATCACACACACAGACATGTGCACACTCACAAAACCCACAAACACACTAACACACTCATAGTCATGCACACAAAGTCACACATTCTAATACACTCACACATACTCACATACTCTGACACACTCATGGATACAAAACACAAACATTTTCACACATGCACACACATACACACATACTCACCCACACATATTTGCATTTACATGCACATTGATGTGTAAGCACATGCTTACACCCAAACTCACTCTCAAACACTGATGCACACATACTCATGTACACACTAACATACAAACACATTCAATTCACACTCATATACTCTCAGACACTGACACAAACATGCACTCACAGGCATACTCACACTTATGTACCTATGTACACTTATACATTTATCCACTAACACTCATGTACACACACAATCATGCACGCACCAAACACTCTCTCTCATACGCATTCACTCACACACATTCACCCTAACATGCTCTCCTGTTGCTCAAACACTAAAACACACTTGTGCACATATCACACTTTCACTCATACTCCTACTTGCACTCACACACACACATCCATGCATACTCATACTCACACACACACACACACACACACACACAATGGTGATACCTCTGATGGGGATAAAGCACTCCATCTGCTCCCTACAGCTACCCACATTCAGCTCTGGCAGTTTCTGAGCCAAACACTATGTTTCCATAATTCCACCTCAGACACAACGCGCGTCAAAGGGAGGCTTCTTCCATGCCTCTGTCGGATGCCACCCTTGATCACTGTGAGGTTAACATCATATTGGGGGTGATCACAGAGCAACTGGCTCCTCTAACTGTGGAGTTAAAAGTTCAACGGCCACCGTTTCTCTGAAATTCCCTAAGAAATAACCCAGCATGCTCCTCCTGGGCTCCCTGCAGTGTGGTACAGGAGGAGCAGCGGCTGTGCCCTGTCCCATGTGGGGCGCGAGGACCGCAGCAGACGTGTTCCTGGTTCTGGGAGAAGCAGCCACGCGAAGTCCATGCTGCAGTTACAGGCAGGCTCTAGGCATGAAGTGGACCAGAAGGAGAACAGGCAAAGAGGGTTTGCCTCATGGAAGGAAGGATGTTTTCATATGGGGTGAAGCACCTTCCTCTGCAGGAGGAAAACTGGTTGGCATAATGATGATAAAAAGAAAAAGAAAAAAAGTTCAGGAGGCTGAGGCAGGAAGATCACAAGTTCAAAGCCAGCGTCAGCAACTTAGCAAGGCCTTAAACACCTTAGAGAGACCCTGTCTCAAAATTTAAAAAAAAAAATAAAAAATAAAAAGGGCTAGGGATGTGGCTCAGTGGTAAAGTGCCCCTGGATTTAGTTCCTGGTACAAAAGAAAAAAATATTAAAAAATGAAATTTTTTTCTGCTGCTCATAGCATTTGAGACGATTTCAACTGAAATACATGTCTTAATTATCAGCATAAAATTATATTTTAAAATGTGAATGTCATGAAAAAAATTATACACTTATATTTTGGAGATTAAAGGCACTATTGTTCCCCTTTAAAATTATTCACCATGGAACTTTGCATAAGGGCAAAAATATTGGGAAAATATTCATGGAAAAATAATGAAACTGAGAATCAAAAGAGTTGATTCTTTCTAGAAACATTTAAACCTTTATTTTAATATCTGAAAGATGAAGTAACCATGGATTAAAAGAAATAGAGTAATAACATTCTTCACTTGGTGCGTCATGATGATTCTGTGGGTACCTTGTTAAGAGGCCGACACGCTCTGCATTCAGAATTCCAAACACACACGGCACAGGACTGCTCCCTGGACAGACTACTGTCCACAACAGGGACTTTTAGTCCACGTGCCCGGACGTCAATGAAGCTCTTTGTCGAATAACCAAGCCAAGTGAAATGAAGGAGCATTCTGAGAAACAAATGCTACCAGCAATGGAGAACATCTTATTCCAAAGAACTCACTTTTAGCTTATTCTCAGATAAACTAATAAATAGATAGAAGACCGTAGCTCTCACTTGACGGCTTTGCCCCAGGAAGCGCCTGAAAGCTGATTCACGTGTGCAGTGTTAGAGTGGCCTCTGCAGACGTCTGTCACTCCAGATAGGCAGGATGGTGTGGACTACGGCCAGAGGCTTCCGGATTCCAGCTGTGACTATGCCAACTTCATGCCGCACAGCATCGTAGCACAGTGGTATCAAGTCACCCTTCATCATCTGACCAGGGTTTTCTGTTTTGCTGACCTGTGGTCTCAAGATGTATCCAAACCCTAAGACTCAACGCTCCATGTCTTCTTTGTTATTTGAGAATCAAAGTCTCACACCTGCAGCATAAACCATCTGCATTTTAATCATCTCCTTTTAATTCACAGTGACAAGAAACACTACTATTTGGCAACAGAAGTATCTCAGTGTCCAGAGTCAGAAATACCAGAACGGGTCACCTTAAGGGCATCTGTTGCTTTCTTTTGATAACATTGGCTAGCTGGGGGGAGGCTCTAGGTGTTTCTGCCAAGGGGTGAAGGATTAGCACAGGGCGTATATGGAGAAAAACTGAGGCTCGGTTCACTCAGCTTGACTAATTATACTCTGAAAGAACCGCGGCAGGAACTAATATCCCTTGAAGTTCCAAGTCCTCCTCTGCGAGACTGTGGCACTTTCCCAGGCATCACAGTGACTTGCAAAACAGTGATCATTTCACCATGTGACCTGCCAGGGAAGGGGAGCTCCTCAAGGTCGCACAGCTCATGATCAACCAGCACAGGGCCTTCCTGACCCTAGAACCCCGAGGCTCAGTCACAAGGTTCCTGTGGGGACAGGGCTGGGGAGGGGGATGTGGCAAGAGCCTGTGGCTGCTCCCCGCCGAGGGTCAGCACCAGTCGCAGAAAGAGCATGGAAAGTACTGGGGAGGGGGGGTGTCCGGAGGGCAATTCTATACACATTCAGAGTCACTGCTACGAAGCACACAGCCATTTCTTTTAATAAGTGAAAAGAAGTTCCTGACCTTAAATGTCCAGGTCATTTGGTGACTGAAAGGAGACTTCTGAGGCCATCTCAGCAAAAACCTGCCCACCCAACTGTGATCCCCTACTCATTTATTTATTTTTGTTCATTCTTTCTCTCCAAAACGTCAATTAACTATTTAGGGACAGTCATTAATTCTTGAGGCATATTCTAGAGGAAAAAAAAAAATGTCTGTGTTCTTAAAGCCATAGATGACAGGAAATTCCTAATTGATATAAAAAGTATCACCTGACAATGTGTGTATTCAGCAGGTGTTTAATATGTAGGGAGCAGTGGGAAAACAAAAGAGGAAGGAAAGGAAGGAAGGAGAGGGAGAGAGGAAGGGAGGAAGCTGGCCCCGTGGAGGGAGCTCATCCAACCCCGTTGGCTTTCCCTCACGGTGACGGTCACACAGGCCTCAGCACCACCCAGGTCTCTGCTACCTCTGTGACTGTGCACAGTTGTACTGTCCCTGAGTCCACCCTACATCATGGAGCTCTGGTGTTTGTGTCTCTCCATGAACTAGTAAATGAGTCCCAAGAAAACCAACAAAGTGCACATGAGCCTTTTAAAAAATTTTTGGTCTTATCCACATTAATAAATTATTCTAAAAACCAATGGATATCACATAGAAAAAGAAATAAAAAGACTTATAAAAGTATGAATTTCACAAAAATGGGAACACAGTCCCTTGGAGACTTGCCCAGGCGGTTGTGTGAACCAAGTGCTTCCCTGGGCAGCCTGCTGCAGACTGGACGTTTTAG